TATAATGGAGGGAAAAATCCCTGATGTTATTCTTTAGATTAGGTTTGGATGAAGTGAAGCCTTGGCTTTAGTTCTGTAGGGTGTGTGTAGGTCTTCTACTTAGCCTGTATTTATCCTTCTCCTCCCTGTGTTTGATATGCCATACTTTTTTAGTTTTCACTATATTTGTTTTCTCTTCTTGTGTTTTCCTTACTCTTTGATTTGCTTTGCCCAGTACCTCTGTCATGTTTGATGCCAGACTTGCTCCTAATTACTTCACTTTCCCAAAACAAAAGGGTCAATGTCATCCATGTCAAGGTCTGTACCTTGGAAACCTCATTTCCTTTATTTTTAATTATTGATTCTGTGCTCATGGACTTGCCCAGCCCCTCACACATTCCCTCTGCTCCAGCCATGCTGGCTGATGTCCCCTGTTCCCTTCTTTTCTCCCAGGATCTCTTGGCTCTCCAGTTCTTGTTCTCCACGATTGCTGCCCAGCTTCATCAATAATGAGTGATTCTTCAGTGACCAGTTTTATCAGCTATTTTCTAGCATTCATTGTAGGCAGGCAGAAATCCATCTTTTACCTCTTGCTATATGTCCTAACAAATTTTAAAAAATATAAAATGAAAATGCTGCTTCAACTTCTGAGGATTTTGTGCCATTTCCCACCTTTGCCCTTCTTATGTGAAGGTGATTTTAGGGGAGACAGAAGGAGCTGCAGCCAGTAGGAGCTCCTTGGATTTCAGGCACTGTACAAAGTGATATACAAATTGTGCCTGCACAATTAGGGATTCTCTCCCGCTGAAAATCTCCCATGCTAAAATGTTTTAAGATTAAGATCAACCCTTTTAATATTGCTTTTGTAGCCTTTTCAGAATGTGTAGCACCTTAATGGTGGGACTCAATGGTCTTCAAAGTCCTTTCCAGCACAAATGATTCTGTCATTCACAGAGATGTCACCACAGGGCTGTGGCTTTCACAAGCATTACATGGTATTTATAGAATATTTTCTCAAATATTAAGACTTTTTCCCCTGGATTTGCACTTTTTTTTTTAACTGATAAATGTATTAACCCCAGCTTTTAATATGTATTTTTAATCAACTGCATTTATTTTCCCCCCTTTGAGCAAGTTCTTCTGCTTTTCCACAACTCTTCCACTCCCTAATTGCATTGCTATATGTGCCTTTCTCCAAATACTAAATAACTGTGATTATCACCATGCAGGATAAGTTTACATATACTTAAAAAATTAAAGTCAGAGAAGACCATATGGGTCTCTTACTGAATTTCACCCAAATTCAAGAGATGAATATTCATTGAATAATGCAAAGGGCCAAGTTCTGCTATTTAATTTTTTCTTTTTTTTTTAAGAATGTGTCTTGCATCACCGGTTAGGGATGTGGGTAAGGATAACACCAGTTTAGGTGATCTCCATGTACTCTGCTTCCAGTCCCAGCAATGGGTAAGGCTCGAGGTCTCAGGCTGAATTCCCAAAATCCCTGAAGAGCAGAAGGGTGTTTTGGAGAATGTTGCCTTTGATTGTATAGAGGAGCATCATCATAGCGTTCTGACGTTGCTTTTTAAAATTACTTTAGGCTGAAAAGTGGGATGTCAAGTCATCAATTAATCCTGACAGCATCCTTCTGTGGTGAAAAAATAATATTGTCACACCCATTTTATGAGCAGAAAATCTGAGGCAGAGATAATAATAGAGGCTCAGTAGTGGTGGTGCTGCTCCCACAACACTCCCATTCCCTGTTCAAGGACACTTCTCAAAGTTTTATATCAGATTACAAAGAGAAGTCACTAAATCAGGATGAACCCTGGGCCATGTCCCCCTAGCCAGATCACTAAACCTCAGCCAGTTCCTAGGAGAGACTTCAGATGTCTCTCTTAAATTGTGGGTTACAGTCAATAATAAAAAAATCCTGGATAACAAGAGCTGTGTAGTATTTGAATATGGAGATTGAATGTTTCCAAGGCAGGGCTCTCAATCTGAGCACAGGTGTGGTGTCTGTGCCTGTTTTGTGGCATTCCAGCTATAATTTGGTCATTCTAATGTTTTCATGTTCTTAGAATGAAATTTAGAGCATATTCATACCATGCCTAGTTCTTATTTTTCCTTTACCAGATGCATATCGAATCAAGTGAAAATACAAAAGCATTTCAAATACCTCAACTAAACAACAAAGCCAGACCCTGGAGTCACATTATATTGATTTTTCCCCAAACATAATATCTTAAAAGAAAAGTTTGCATTTTAATATCAGGCTTTTATACGGTTTTGCAGTTCTTCTTCAGGAAATGGAGTATATATAATTAATACTGTTTAATAAAGCTCAAAAATGCAACAGATGCAGCCAAAAGTGCACATCATTTTGAGCAGATCTTTACAGAACAGACATTCCATATTGTGTTCATCTTTTTCCACGATCACTGCTATGGCAATCTGGTGTGTTTAGCAGTTGTTGCTGAGTAAGGCAGACTGGATTGTATATGATTTTTTCCATGTCAGCCAAGAAACAGAGCTCTCTCCTTTTTGATGCAGCAAAGAGGTGGTCTTGTACTGTTTATTTGTTTCTACCAGGGGCAGCTAATACCTACAGTATTCTGCAATAATAATAATACACTGCAGCCTGTAGGTGCACGGTCCTGGAGGTTTCTGGAGGTCTTAACTGAAAATAAAATGCTTGTGAAGAAGTCACAGGAACTGATAAAGTCACTTCAGATAAGTGAGCTCCCAAATAGAAAAGCTACAAGATTTACAAAACATGTCATTAAAATCTGGGAGTGTCACCTAAAAGGGAAACATTTTATACTGGGGGTGGAAGGAGGATCACCTACATCAGAAAACCCGCAAGAGAGGCTCCAGTGCAGAGGAAACGTTTCCCCTTTCAGCATTCCTTCTGGGTGCCAAATTTTCCTTCTGTTCTTCCCCACCTATTAAACAAAGCTGCAACTTCCAATTCCTATCAGTTTTCCTAAATATGTGCAGCTTATGTGGCTTCGCCGAGCTGTAAGGCTCCGTGTTCTCCTGCCAGCTCCTTGACAATGTGGCTCCAACAGCATCCTCCACTTTTGGCTGCCTCTGGGACCCCTGGTCTCTTCTGGAAAGCAAGAGGGAAAGCATATCCTTTGCTGGAAGGACTTTTTGTGACTGCAAAGCTGATAGCAGGGCTGTGAAGAGCTTGGAAAGATCCCTGTCGGCGTCGTGGCTGTCGAGTCTGTCGGCTCCGCGCGCGGGGACGCGCCGGTCCGCCGGGATGAGCTGAGCCGGGGTGGGCTCGTGGCATTGCTCACAAAAGCCTGTCCAGGGGAAACTGAGGCTCAGGGGACACTCTGTCATGAATTACACCAACTCCCAGCAGCGTAGAACTTTTCCTTGCAAGCATTCGTAACGGGGATGTTCTTTTCCAGCTAAATCTGAATCCATGCGATCCCGTGTTGGCTCTTCGAGCTGGGCATTTGGAGGGAACTGAATACTGGCAAAAGTTTCTGCACAGAAGTTACCTACCAGAAACAGGTGGCTCTTTTAAGCATGAGGATGCAGCAAACTAATAGTCAAAGATCTGAGATCTTTGCAACTGGGAGAAATCCACCCTCCAAACCAGTGCTTGTGTTGCTGGAATTGCTGTGAAAACTCCTGGTTCACAGATGTGAAACAAATTACAAGGCTTATGCAGTTGCATTCCTCCTTATTATTGGGAACAAAACAATGGAGGACTTCTAAAAGCGATTATTGTCTGGCGTTATTTTAAGAAAATGTGACTAATTCTGAAAAGTCCACAATTCCTGGAGGTTTCTCAGCCTAGGGAAGTCACATTGATTATAAGATTAATTTATTTTAATTCCCTAAACCAAAAATATTGACTGAATGAGAAATTAACACGTGCAGAGCTGCAGATGCCATTTGGCTTCAGATTTCCTGAATGATATAATTATTAATTTTTCATATACTAGTGTGAGACCTACAGATTTCATTCTACAAAATTACTCTGTGAAGAAAGACACTAGGACAGCTGAGATATAGATTTTTTCCTTAATACAGGAAGGAAAACGGTGGAATTTTCTAAATAATAAATAAAACCAAAATATTTTAAAGGCATATGGTGCACATCTGTTGAAATACAATAATTTAAAGCAGAGTAATTAAATGCAAGATATAATATTCACCTTAGAGTGAGGAAATTATCTCATTCCATTTTTAATATAACTTAAGGAATTTGGGAATTTTAAATCACTTGTGGTACCTTTTGAACCTTTCATTCTGTGCTAGTAAAGAAGATAGGTTGGAAAATTGGGGGGTTAATTTATTTTTACATAACCTAACTTGTGTTTCCTGTCATTGAGTGTCAGGCCCATACAAACCTTTAATATTATCTTGAACTGAAATTACAAATAACTACAAGTTTCTTATATTCTGTTTTAATTTACAGTTAACTCCTTAAAAATCTAAAGGTAGAAAATGCCTTGTGGTAGTTTATTCCTTTCTTTACCTAAAGCACCGAATGGATTGAAAGCTTTTAATGAGTATAGCGTGAATTCCTAAAATTCCCATTTGAGAAATCCTGTAGGTTTAGGAGGAGTTTTTGTTTAACCTGTTTCTCCTGAAAGAAAAATAATTGTAATGGAAGTCATATACATGTTTTTTTGGATAGGGAAAAAAAAAAAAAAACAACAACTTTTTTTTTTCCTACCCATTTTATAAACTGACTTTGCCTTCAGGTAGGTGCTCAGTCCTTCTCACTTTCAAAGCTAATAATTTGAAGAGTAAATGCATTGTTTGAGGACAGGGAAGAGATAGAGAAGAAACTGATGAAACTGAGTTTAGACCCCCAAGTGCTGCACTGAGGAAAATGTTCAGCCATGCAGGAGAAGCAAAGAGGGAAATTATTTGAATAAATTTAGTCTCCAAAAGTACAATTTTAGAGGAGTGGCATTCTGATAAATAAAAAACCTCCCATAATTTCACAACTAAATGTAGACAATGCTGAGATGATTTCTGTTTGTTTTAAGGGAACATGACAAAGATCCTGAAACTTTCTTTAAAGTCCTGATGAAGCTGAAAGAGCAAGATCTGCCTTTCCATGTGTCTGTCCTTGGAGAGACTTTCAGTGAAATTCCAGGTACCTTTCCTTTTTTTCTTTACTATAAGGTTACCATAAAGTAGATAATTCCAGAAGTAGTTTTCATTTTTGTATTTTTTATCTTAAAGAATGTGCTTAAAATTTTCCTAGTTGTGAAACTAAATACTATTGATACATTGTAAAATTAAAATTATTAAAGACAGTAAGCATTTTTTATTTTACTTGGCAGGGCAAGACCTTATTTATGACTTGTGGTTCAGTAACACTTCTGTATTTATTTAAACAGAGAGATAGGTGTGGGTGATTGCATGGTTCAGATAGGAAGCAAAATCTTTCAGGTCAAGGTCACTCATGAAATCCAGACTGAGATTTTAGCAGGTAAAAACACTTAGTTCCCTCTCAAATGTGAGGTTAAGGACTGCTGTGGAGAGCTTCTGGTTTGTATCTGGCATGAAAATGGTCATTAATCTTTAATATTTTTATACCACTCTTTTGGACAGTCCTTCCATTTCTTGGCTTCTGCAGAACCACAACTCATTGAACAGTTTCACCTGTCTGGAAAATAAATAGATTTTATTCAGGCACACAGTTTTGTGTCTGAGATATTATGGCAATAAAGAGAATAATCAAATCCTGTACTGTGTGCACTTGTAATAAATTAAATCTTTTAAAAATGTAC